TATTTATACAACAGTTCGTTCTGGTTCTCAAATCTGATTGGTTGAGAACCGTGAGCTATTGTACTGGTATCGCTACAGGGGCTACCTTTCACAATTTTGTATCATTCCGCTTGTTCTAGCCAGGTCTATGTTTTTTTTTTAATTATTCACTGAGCTAATCATAGAGTACGTTAGTTAATATAAGAAGAAACGTCTAGCTTCGCGGCTATTTTCCTGTCAAAATAACAGCGTTCCTCTGGAATTCTTCAGCTTTTAAGAACTGCCGCTTTCTCCGGTAGTGGACGGAACTAATGCGCAAACGGCAATCTCATTGGCTGGTGCTCACCTATTATCGTCCCTCATTTGATTTCAGCAAATCTGTTCGAGCGAACGCACACATCCTGATTAATATTCATGAATCCAGCAGCTCATTAATCCTTAGTGCGTTTTATATTGTTCTTAGTAGAATTCATAGTATTATTATTATTATTATTACTACTACTATCTTATCAGTATTATTGTAAGTTTTTTCCCATTTTTTACAGAAACACCGAATGTCCAAAAAAGCCAGTCCTAAGTTCATTTAAAATGACTAATATGCATTCAAATTTGTATCATTATCAGTATTTTTGTTAGTTTTTTCCCAATTTTTCCCCCCAGAAACACTGAATGACCAAAAAAGCACCATCACCAGTCCAGTTAAAATGTTCCGATAAAATGATTAATATGCATTCAAACATGGTTATCAATTTTTAATTCTAATTACTAAAGTTCTATCATTAAATAATACTTGATTCGATTCAATTGCCAAGGTGTCCACCAAGGTGTCCGTAGAGGGTTGAAGGTTTAGTATGGGAGTATTGTAAGTGTATGTCTTAAAGGGTTAGTTCACCCAAAAATGAAAATTCTGTCATTAATTACTCACCCTCGTGTTGTTCGAAACTCGTAAGACCTTCGTTCATCTTCGGAATACAATTTGAGATATTTCTGATGAAATCTGAGGGCTCTCTGACCCTTCCCATAGACCGCAAGGTAACTACCACGTTCAAGGTCCAGAAAAGTACCAAGATGATCGACAAAGTAGTCCGTGTGACATCAGTGGTTCAACTGTAAAGTTACGAAGCTACGAGAATACTTTTTTGCGCAAAGAAAACAAAAATAACGACTTTATTCCACATTTTCATCTCTACTGCGTCACTTGTGGACGCTCGTTCACGACAGTACCATGACGAGAGCGTGTGGTGGAGCTGACCCAGATAAAATATCTTAAATTGTGTTCCGAAGATGAACGAAGGTCTTATGGGTTTGGAACAACATGAGGGTGAGTAATTAATGACAATTTTCATTTTTGGGTGAACTAACACTTTAATAAAAGAGTGTTTACACTGACAGCAGCCTGTAGTCATTTTTAATTTTAATGAGAGTTTGCAGTTCTCTGGACCATGAGCGACCGCTGGCGATGCGATGTGGGCGTATTCCTTCAATGCAATCATTTTATCTCAACTTTTAGTGTGATAGATGAACCGGAGATAATATTACCCACGTGAATAGCCAAAATAACCATTTTTATTTCAAATAATAACATATTAATATGCACTATTTAAAAGTTTGGATTCTGCAAGATATTTTTAAAAGAAATTAATACTTTTATTTAGCAAGGATGCATTAAACTGTTTAGAAGTGATTGTAACGATATATATAATGTTACAAAATATATCTATTTCAAAGAAATCCTGAAACAAATGTATAACTATTCCCACAAAAATATTAAACCGCACAATAGTTTTAAAAAATAAAAATGTTTATTGAGCACCAAATCACCATATCAGAATGATTCCTGAAGGACTGTGCGCTGACAAAATCTGGTGTAGGGTTTACTTTGAAACAATTTTCACTCAGAAATTGCTAGTAAATTTTAGAAGTACAAAAAATGGCAAGTAACACATTGAATTAAATGTAAAAATTTTAAGTAAAACAAATTAAATACTATTTTTCTGTCAAATGTATTAAAATAATCTGTTTAAAATAATTTTGAAACTGAAGTAATGGCTGCTGAAAATTCAGCTTTGCCATCACGGGAATATTTTTTCTTTTTTTTTCTTTAAGTATATTAAATAAAAAACAGTTATTTTAAGTTGTAATAATATTTCACAATAATATGTTTTTTACTGTTTTTCTGATCAAATAAACGTAGCCTGTGTGAGCAAGAGAAAAATGTGGTTCAACGCAGACAGATTGACCAGCTACACTGCTGAGAGTGGATTTGTTGTGACAAAATAGGAGGGGAGTCAAATGAAAGTCCAAACTGTAAAGACACCATCTGTCTCCGTCCGTGAGATAAAGACATCAACAATCTGTCTTCATCGCAGCCAAAACGATCAAAGAGTCAAAGGAAAAACAAACACTAGTTTTAGGGAGATCACCTATCGCTAGATTTCCTAGCGGGCTTGTTGTGACAAGCGGTCATTCAGTCATTAGGACCATCTGCAAACCTGTCTCATCGAAATACAGAATACAGAATTTCCTCTATAGTACTGTGTGAAAAAGTGGATTCAATCTGTTTAATACTTTTCTGACCTACTATATGACAAAAAGGACAGTTACAAAAAGACAAAAGATCCTGTAGATCCTCCCATGTGATATCCTGTGTTACCTGTCTGCTGGATCTTCCTGAGCCAACTTCTTCTCCACAACTTTAAGTGCCGCCTCGAGAGACGTGCTGGTTTGCTCAAGTCGTTTGTGGACCAGCACGTGCTGGCCTTCTGTCACAGCCTGTGACTTTCCTGCCAGTACAGACTGACCTTGAGGTGCTTTGTTTAGTGTACAGCGAGCCAGAGGACTACATGGAGGTGAGACGGCAAAGGCCACGCTCTGTACGACACTGACTGTCCGTCCTGAAGAAAATTGACGACAGCCAAAAGGTGGAGATAGAACAATAATTTAGTAGAGCATTAGTTAACATATAGAACCATGGGTAAATGTTTATGAGAATCCCAGGGCTAGTTTTTTTTTTTTATAGCATCAATCATTAACTGAAACTAAAACTATTATTCAGCGTTTTTGGTCACTGAAATAAATGTGAAATAAAATGTTGCACTGGCAATTAACAGAAATATGTTATATATATATATATATATATATATATATATGTTGAAGTATTAAAATTACTAAAACTGAAAGTGAACTAATAAAAAAGCTTAACAGAAATGTAAAAAAAAAAGCATATAAAATTAATAGAACTAAAATTAAAATATAAACTGAAAATGTAAAAATAAAAGCTAATTCAAAATATTACTAAACACTAAGATAACACTGGATCCAATCAATCCTAATGGATAAAACAATGGAGTTCTGCCCTTTATATATATATATATATATATATATATATATGTTTTTTTTGTTTGTTTTTTTTTGGTCACACTTTATTTGAAGGTCCAATTCTCACTGTCAACTAACTATTAACCATGACTTTTGCCTCAATAAACTTCTAATTTGCTGCTTATTAATAGTAATGTAGTTGTTAGTTTAGGTATTGGGTAGGATTAGGGATGTAGAATATGGTCATGCAGAATATGTGCTTTACAAGTACTATATGCTAGTAACATGCATGCTAGTTAATAGTGAGAAATGGTCCTTAAAATAAAGTGCTACCCCATTTTTCTGACTCAGAAATACATCATATTACATAAGTAAAATGGGCTTACACATTGATTTTAACAAATGAAAAATTCCAAATAAAGCATCAATTACAGCTGATATTTACAGCTGTAAATAAAGACAGGTTAAGCTGAACATCTTTAAACGCCTCTAATGTGTGATCAGATCACCTCTGCATTATTTAAATCATATCATGCATATAAAGACCAATTTTCAGATACTTGGGTGCTGATGTGATTTATTGGTAATTGGAGGAAATAAATTCTGATGTTTAAAGCCGAGAATGACAAATAAGATGTCATCTCTAACATGCATTCAAAGCATCTTGTTTTCAGGCATTAACACAATTATGCTGTAAATGAGCCTTTAAGACCTACACATTCATATTTTGACTACTGTTCAAAAGTTTGGGGGTCAGTAAGAATTTTTTAATGTTTTTTAAAGTCTCTTATTCTCACCAAGGCTGCATTTAATAATCAAAAAAAATAATAAATAGAGAAAAATCATTACAATTTAAAATTGTAAAAAACTGTTTTCTATTTTACTGTATTTTAAAATATCATTTATTATTGTGATGGCAAAGCTGATTTACAGCAGCTATTACTCCAGTCATCAGTCACATGTTCCTTCAGAAATCATTCTAATATGCTTATTTGGTGATCAAGAAACATTTCTTCTTATTAATGTAGCAAACAGCTGTGCTGCTCAATGGTGTTGAGTAAACTGTGATATATTTTTTCAGGATTCTTTAATTGATAAAAAAGAAAAGAAAATCAGCATTTATTTTAAATTAAATCTTTTGTAACTTTATAACGTCTTTACTGTCACTTTTAAACAATTTATTGCATCCTTGCACCCTTTCCTGATTTATTTCAGGAAAAAAAAATTCATACTGACCCCAAACTTTTGAACAATAGTGTATGTTTGGAAGTAGCTATGCATTTGTTCAAAATAAAAACGGTTTTAAAATACATTTTTAAACAAAAATCCTAGAGATGCACCGATCGATCGGGATCGTAATCGGCCGATTTTCCTCATGATCGGCCAGGATCGGTGACCGGCCGGTCAGTCTCACTTCTTTCCGATTCCGAGCCGATCCGTTTTGTTACCAGCGGCACAGGCAATAATAAACGGTCAAATACATACAAGATTGTCAAAATGCCCGTCTTGGCGAGTATCCAGTTAAACACAGACAGTTTTGGAACGTTAAATAGTTGAGAAAGAGAATGCTAGTGATGTGTCGTTCGCGAATGAGCCGGCTCTAAGAGCCGATTCTTTGTAGCGAACGAGAAGAGCCGACTCCCGTCGGAGAGAGCCGAATCTTCAGCCGGAGCCTTCTATTTTAGCCAAATTTAGCAATTTAGCAAAAAGCCATTTTTTTATTCAGTGTTTTCATAAAAGCCTAATTTTTATGCATTTTTTCGTTACCAAAAAAAAAAAAAAACCTTCCGGCTAATCACATGGGAGGATATAGACTATCATACCATTATGTGAAAGGAAGGGGGACACACGCTCCGAAGATAGCGAGTGTAGTGGTAAAGGCCAGGTATACAGAGCGACAGAGAGAGACGGGGGAGCCGGATTTAAACACAAGCGCGTTGGTTAAGGTAGGAAGACGCTGCATTGTTGCAACATCGGTCCCTTCAGAGAGAGTCTTCTCAAAAACAGGACAAATAATCACAGAGGAGAAATCGCATCAGCACATCCAAGCTGAGGCATCTGATATTTCTGAATGCCAACCTGCACTAAAGACTAAAGTGTCTTAATCTTAAAACTTTTGCCTTTATTTATTTATTTGCTGTGGTTTTGTGTTCAATTAAGGTTTTATTAAAATGTTAAATAATAGTAACTGTATTTTTTGTAACGAAAAAAATGCATACAAATAAGGCTATTATAAAAACACTGAAAAAAATTGCTTACCAATACGCAAACCATTCACAATTGCTAAACTGGGCTAAAATAGAAGGCTCCGAGTGATACTAAATGAAGAGCCATTTGGGAGCCGTAAGAGCCGGCTCTTCTTAGGGAGCCGAGCCAAAAGAGCCGAATCTTTGATAAGAGCCGGACTTCCCATCACTAGAGAACGCATGTTGTGTAACATTATATTGGGTCCGTGGATAAACTCTTAAAGGGACCGCAGTCCAATATTTCTGCTGCTGTCTGTCATGTTAATCAAAGAACAAAAGACAAAGAAAATCACTTTCTGCTCTTGTCTGAATACGTTTTATAACTTTAATGGTAAGCATTACTCTGTATTTAATTTCTGTAGTCTTCATTGTAAATATTAAAGTAATCAAATGTACATTTGATTTTACATTTGATTACTTTGATTTCTGTAGTATTTCTTACCTGAATAAAAACTTACTTAACCCGAAAAACTTAGTTTCATAGCTCATTGCATTTATTTGTGCTGTTGTTTGCAATTTTTTTTATTTATTTATTATATTTATTTGTTATTATTAATATTTTATTTTATTACTGACTTTTTACTTGTGTTTTTTTTTATGAAAATAAAACTTTGCGTTGAAGAAAAGTAGATTTTTGTTTGTATATGCTGTGAATTATAGTTCTTAGAAAGAAAATCGGAATCGGCAAAAATCGGTATCGGCAGATCACACAAACAAAAAATCGGAAATCGGAATCGGCCAAGAAAATTTAAATCGGTGCATCTCTAAAAAATCCTTCTCTAATACAATCTTCAACCTGACATTTAAAAAAAAATTATAATTTATACTAAGTGCTTTTTTTCTCACTTTAAATAATAGCCTTAACACATAGCAGTACCTGAGTTTGCTGCAGTAGAATGGCGTGTGGGCTTAGAAGGGGTGGGAGGTTTATGTGGAGATCCTGGTTTCAGAGAGAGGCCATATTTATAAGGATTTTTTGTCAATCCACCATTCTGCATGCATTGCGAGACCATCTCGGTCTCTGTGGCCTTCTCATTTCCTATTTCTGTGCTGGTGCCCTGACCTTTCATCTGCAGTTCTTTTGGCTTGTGTCTCCTTTTGACTGTGTCTGATTCCTTTAAGTTAAACTCAGGCACCTCTAGGGATGATCTGATAGATTGTGCCAGCTTCAGAATTTCAACACCGGCCTCAGACTCTATCTTAGCGGATGCTATTTTGGTCCTTTGTTTGATGGTAACTTTGCCCTCTTCAGCGAAAGGTATGCTCTCCTGTGAGGATGTTGAACCTTGTTGGTTCCTCAGAGGGCTGATGTTTTTACCAGCAGGATTTTCTCCACCATGCTTCGTTTCATACACGGAAGATTCACTAGTAGTCCTCCTACAGTTTTCCATATTTTTTGGTGAGATGGCTGGGGACATGGCTTTAAAAACAGGGCTGTTGCATGTCTTGTTGGGGCTTCCTGTACTGTTCTCCAGCCTGGATGCAATGCTTCTGACACTTCCTGCGCTCTTCGTTTCAACCTCACTTGTAGTGACCCCATTCGGGGCAGAGCTTAGTCGCTTTGGAGGGGGAGGAGGAGGACCTTTCCTCTTGGCACATATGGCGAAGGAATGACTGCGGCCCACTTGATGCTCACTGGAACTGTAAGACGGTTGGCTGCGGCTGGGTTTGCGAGTAAGCGTGGCATAAGATGCCACATTGGTGGAAGTTATCGAAGGAGCTGAGATGTCATCTTTTTCATTCTCTCCATCCGACATAGCATAGCGTGAAAGACTCTGAGTCCGTTTTTTGGATCGCAATGTGTCCCCATTTGGCTGCATGGCTCTGATTGGACTTGGGCTTCCAATGTTGGCGTTGCAGTTTTGATGCTGCAGGTAGCTAAAGCCCCTCTGAAGAGGTGATCCATGATGGGGCTGAGAGGGAGAAACCACCGGTCTAGGTTTGGTGAGGACGGGTGGATATGCAAAACGTGCTATTTTACTAGTGGTTATGGGTGGTGTCCTTGCTGGACTGCCAGATGTGGGCTGATGAGGTTGTAGCGGCAACACTGGCGCCATTTTGACAGGTGATATTTGGCTTCTATCCTGAGATTCCCTAATGGCATATTGTTCCTTGATGGGACTGTTGCCCATGCTGCCCAGGCTCTCTTGTGAGTGGCTGTTGGGGGATACCGATGCCATTGGACACTCTTGCGACCGTCCCGACCCTCCTGACCGTGTACCAATGCTTTCTTGACTAAGACGCATGGCTGTTCCACTCATGTTTCCGAGACCATCTTGGCCTCCACCGTATCCGCTGCGAGCCATGGCGTTCTGTAGCTCAATGCTCAGCTCACTGTCCTGGAAGGTGAGCATCTTTGGTGAGAGAGGTGATGAGGGGCATTCAGAGCTGTCGTGATGCTCGATGGCCACCAGCTCGAGGGCGGGAGGAAGTCTCCTGCGCTGTAGCAATGCCTGCCCTTCAGTCTGGTTCTTACGAGCCTTCTGGACGTCACTCAGCTTCTTAACAGCAAGCATCAGCTTTTTCTGATGGCCTGTAGATAAACAACATGTCAATCCACAGATGTATGTTTAGGAACACCAAATACTCTGGAAACAGAAATGTGGTTTTTGTGTACATGGGCATATTTTATATCTGAAATTTATATCTATTAAATATATGACTGATGTTTTATATCTAGGCCTGAATCCACAGCACCATTTAAATGCATTTGTGCAATCTATCTACCTACAATACCATTCAAATGTTTGGTCAGTAAGATTTTTTTTTTTCAGCAAGGATGCATTACATTTCTCAAAAGTGAGTCAAAACATTTATAATGTTACAAGATTTCTATTTCAAATAAAGTTTTTTTAACTTTACTGTATATTGATTAAAGAATCCCGATGTATTACAGTTTCCACAAAAATATTAAGCAGCACAGTTCATTTGAACATTGATAATAAGAAATTTCCTAAGAAATTCTTGAATGCCAAATCAGCACAACAGACAGATTTCTGAAACTGAAAATGAAACTGAAGACTAGAGTAATGGCTGAGTAAATTCAGCTTTGCCATGAAAAAAAACCAGGAATAAATTATATTTTAAAATATATTAAAATACAAAAGAGTTTTTTTTTTATTTTAATAATATTTCACAATATTACTGTATATTTTACTGTATTTTTGATCAAATAAATGCAGCCTCTGTGAACAAAGGCTTTCAAAAACTTTTTTTTTTAAATCACTAAAAGAAAAAAATTCAACGGTAGTGTATCTATCCATCCACTTACCCAGTTTAGTGATACCAATTTCCTGTAGATCCTCCCATGTGATATCCTGCACTATGTTGATGGAGTCATAACCATTCTCCGCTAGCTTTTTCTGGTATTGTGGCAGCCCAATAGCACTGAGCCACTTCCCAATATCAGACTGAAACAAACAGACAAATATAAAGGTGCTGCTTTTATTTCATTTGATTAATCCTCGCTGTGCCTCAGTTGGTTAAGCACATAAAAGTCAATGTCTGTGATATGAATCTAGCAATCATCTGTTTATGAACTCCTGAAGCTCTCATTAGTGTCATAACCTTGAACTTGTACAGCACATGTATGTTTATGTAAACATTTAAAACTGTTCATATGAAAATATAGCACTGAATTACTGGAATGTAATCCGGCAACCATTCTGGGATATTCATGTAGCCGATCTCCGTGGAGATCTTCTTGCGGTGGCCAGGCTTTGTAACGCCAATAGCGGTGAGATCCTAGAACATAAAAAGCAGATTGATACACTTAAAAAATGAATGATGATGGTATGTTCAGCTTTGAAATCTATCGAAAGCAGTAATGAATACCAATGTGTTATGCCAGAAATGCAGCAGGATGCAAACGTACTTAAATGCTGATACACAAAAAGACAGCCTCACCTCAGGGGTCATTCTGCTGATTGTGGGCACATCATAGCCAGCTGTGAGGAAATTAGATGTGTACTGCTCAAGCTGAAACTCGCAGAGCCACTGGTAAATAGCCTCAGCATCCTAATACAAGGAGACGACTGAGCATTATGCACAAAAGCCCAATGGGTCAGTCATGTTAACAACCACAGTTAGATCCAATTCTCTAGTTTAAAAATAGTTTAACATTTCATTTTAAATGAAAATAGGCATTCTACTGAAAATACATAAATAAAATAAAGAGGATTTAGAGGACTGTGGAATGCTATGTGTTTGGCTACTATTCTAAGAGAATACTAGTTTACTACCTAAATAGTGTGCAGTATATGCTGTATAGAACTCGTAGTCAGTGAAAGAGTGAATTATTCCACAATAAACATTTCAAACTGTATGCAACATTAGCACATGACCTCAGCAAGTGGCATCTAATTAACATGAAAATAAAAATGATTGTTTTGAACTTATCTACACTTTTGTGTACATATACATTATATATATATATATATATATATATAAAATCATCTTCATCATCATCATCATTAGAAGTAGTGGTGGTGGTGGTATTATATAAATCATAATTAAAATTATATTAGGCAAAATGTTTATTTTACATTGTTAATCCAGTACATTAAATTTATTGGTCACACTTTATTTTAAGGTCCAATCCTCACTATTAACAAACCATTAACTATGACTTTTGCCTCAATAAACTCCTAATTTGCTGCTTATTAATAGTTAGTAAGGTAGTTGTTAAAGTCGGCATGAAACAGAAGTTGAGATTGTCCTTTTTTTCCCTATTGTGACGTATATCCGAGTGAAACGGCTACTGAAATGAGAAAAAATTGCAGGGCTTGATTTCATCCTTCGGAAATTGATTGGATCGTTGGAAGTTGGGCGTTGCTAACAAAATGAAGGCAGAAACGAGACAGTAGAGCCCTGCACGGGCCTCAAATTTAGGCCCTAGCCCGGCCCTGTCCCGAGACGCTCAGGCCCTAGCCCGGCCCGTGACCGACAGCTTATCAGAATTACCGGCTCGAGCCCGAACCAAGCCCGTCTTTTTTCCCCTTCTCCCAAAACAGCTTATACTACTGTTTCAGCTATTAAAATAGTTCCGTTTTGTAGTTCAGGACGTAGAATATGGTCATGCAGAATATGTGCTTTATAAGTACTAATAAACAGTCAATATGTTAATAATAGGCATGATAATAAGCAACTCGTTAATAATGAGAATTGGTCCCTATACTAAAGTGTTACCAATTTATACAAAAAAAAATATATACATAATACTACCGCTATTAATAATAATAACAACTTATTAGTACTTTAAGTTTAGGTATTGAGTAGGATTAGGGACGTAGAATATGGTCATGCAGAATATGTGCTTTATAAGTACTAATAAACAGTCAATATGTTAATAGTAGGCATGATAATAAGCAACTAGTTAATAATGAGAATTGGTCCCTATACTAAAGTGTTACCAATTTATTAAAAAAAAAAAAACATAATACTACCACTATTAATAATAATAACAACTTATTAGTATTACTATTATTATTACCCTATTTTAAGTTCTGTCAGGACCACTATCGTCAAAGATGACTGACAATTAGCATAGTTTGGTTTGGCGGTATGGTTCTGTTCTGGGCAAGAACTCCCTGCGCATCCATGCAGCTTAGCATGGATGAGAGCAGGGAGAGCAGCGATAACCCCCCCAGGGTAAACAGAACAGAACCAACATAAATGTATTGCAGATATCGTTAAAGTTCAATAATGTTATGTACACATTTTAGAATTAGTCTGATTCAAAGGAGAATCAGAAGGCTGAATCCTGACTGACAGAGGAGGAGTAGGGGATGGAGGAGGGTAATTAGAATAAATCATTGAATATTTGCTTAGTTATCACCAAGCACGTTCTATTTGTTGTAGATCATTGAACCATTAAGCTCAGTTTCATGAGTTACCTTCATTAACAAACGCTGCCTGCGAAGTCATTAGCTGATAGGCGGTGAGGCAGCATGTCAGCAGCCTAGGTTTTCGGATGCAGACGACTTCAACTGAACAACGACCTTTTACCATTTTCTCTTGGAGCTGCGCCGCAGCAGAAATTATTCCCTTTGCACCATGGTCGTTATTTCCTGCTGCTTAATTCTGTGCTGTAGTGCACAGATAAAATAAAGGAGACTTGACTAGGTAAAAGGGGACATAACACACACAGTTTCGGCCAATCTCTCGTTATTCTTAATTACCTATTGTGTAGTATTGCATCATTCACATCTCCGAAGTGTCTTCAGTTTTATCAGATTTATAAAAGAAAGATACAGCTTTACGATTCTCTCCGAAAACAGCCGAGCTGCTGGAGGCGAGCCGTGGGTGGAGCTGAAGAGTCGGGAGCACTTACAGGCCGATTGGCAACAAAACACAGACGTCTGATGCAGTTTTACAGCAAATCCTAGTCATGACCGGGATCTTTTATTGCTGGGACTGCTCTGTCTTTCAGCATAAAATTATGTGCAAATCCAGTGTCAGAATGTACCCTGTTATAAAGCATTCGTCACCGAAGTGACGGGAACAACAAACACGCTTGTGAAACTCCGTTGCTGCCCCAGAAAAACTAATTGCATCCACTGTTCACATAACACTGAATAAGGTTCTTTTCCACACATCCAAAAACACACTCTTTAGAGATATTAGGCTTGTTCGGCTTCATGCTGCCGCCTGTCAAAAACAATGCATTCTGGTTACATTAAAAATGCTTTTGTCCAATTTTGATCGGCGCTGCAGCCGCACCCTACGATCACATGTGCATTCAAAGTACCGCGAGAGCAAAACGGGACCAGCCGCCTAGGTCAGGCACTGCAAAAGTC